GTACCACCTCGGCTTAGGCCTTACACACCTTCACCCTTGACTCGGGTGCTTCCCGCTCCTTCTTTCGAGACCGCACCATTCTTACGCCGCTTAGTCGGCCGGTTGCGGTCTCCCTGGCAGACCCCTCTGGGGGTCCTGTCCTTGCTCACTTCTCCACTATTTTACCGTGTCTGGCAGCCCCCTTTGGCACCCTGTCAGGTCGCTACCTCCCGTCGTTCTCTAACAACTTGGTGAGTGGTGCTGACCTACATGATGGGGGGGTTGACCAGTTCACTCCTGCGAGTCAGCGGGTGACCCACTGTACGTCTGCTCGGATGGGCCGACACTTGGCCACGTTTACCCGTCAGGCGGGGTCGAGCCTGTACACCCTTACTTCTGAGTCTCCTCCGCTTGCTGAGTCTGGTCAGGTAGCAGCGTCGAGTCAGGTGTTTGCTGCAGCGTCCGGGTCTGGTCCTGAGTCTGCTCCCTGCTCGTGTCGTCTCCTGTCCCACCAGACTCTCCTCTGGCACCACCGTCTTGGTCACCCCTCCTTGCCTCGTCTCCAAGGCTTGGCCTCCCGTGTCCTTGTCTCTGGTCTCCCTTGGTCCCTCCCTCCCCTCCCTCCGGGGCCTGCCCCTACCTGCGTTCCCTGCATCGAGGGGCGGCAGCGCGCCGCCCCTCACTCCTCCGAGTTTCCTCCGACAGAGGCTCCGCTGCAGACTCTTCACATGGACGTATGGGGCCCCTCCCGCGTCCGTGGCCAGGGTCACGAGCGTTACTTCCTGTTGGTGGTTGACGACTACTCGCGTTACACCACGGTGTTCCCATTGCGCAGCAAGGGTAACGTCACTGAGGTGTTGATCGACTGGATCCGCCCGGTTCGTCTCCAGCTCAGAGAGAGTTCCGGCTTGGACTTTCGTGTTCTACGTCTGCACTCTGAAAGAGGCGGGGAGTTTTCATCTGCCCTTCTGGGAGCCTTCTGTCGTGCACAGGGCATCCGCCTGACCTTCACGCTTCCGGCCTCTCCACAGCAAAACGGGATTGCTAAGCGCCGCATTGGCATGGTCATGGTCGTCGCTCGTACGTCCATGATCTATGCGGCTGCCCCCCATTTTCTGTGGCTGTTTGCGGTTCTGTACACAGCGCATCAGCTCAACCTTCAGCCCCGAGTCTCCTTGCCAGATACCTTCCCCACCTTGCGGTGGACGGGGAAGGTTGGCGATGCGTCTGCATTTCAGGTCTGGGAATCTCGGGCGTTTGTCTGCGACTTGTCTGTGGACCAGCTGTCCCCCTGTGCTGTTCCCTGCGTCTTCCTTGGCTTCCCCCCTGACGCGCCTGGTTGGCAGTTTTACCACCCCGCCTCGCGCCGTGTTCTGTCCTCCCAGGACGTCACGTTTGACGAGTCGGTGCCTTACTACCGTCTCTTCCCCTACCGCACTGCGCCCCTGCCCCCGCCGCCGCTCTTCCTTGCGCCAGGTCCTCCCCCCCTTAGGGTCCTGCCCCGTAAGGTGTGTCCTAGGTAGACGCAGTCGAGCCTATCGAGGTAGTTGTTGACTTTGGTGCTGCTAGAGGTGCTGAGCCTGCGGGTGCCGGGTCTGGGGGTGCTGAGCCTAGGGGTGTGGAGACTGGGGATGGTGAGTCTAGGGGTGCGGAGCCTGCGGGTGCTGAGCCTGGGGGTGCTGAGTCTGGGGGTGCTGAGCCAAGGGGTGCTGAGCTTGGGGGTGCTGATCCTTGGGGTTCGGAGCCTGGGGGTGCTGGGTCTGCTCGTGTGGCCTCTCACTGTGCTTCCTCGAGGCGGGAGCTACACTCTCCGCAGGAGCTGCGCGAGTGGTTTGCCCGGCGCTAGGGCCGTGCTGCTGGAGCTGGAGGTGCTACTGTTGCTGCTGATCCTGGAGGTGCTAGTACTGGCCGTACTGGAGCTGCTGGGACTGGGGGTGTTGCTGGGGCTACTGGAGTTGGTCCAACTGGAGGTACTGCTGGAGCTGCTGGCGGTACTGGAGGTGACGGTCCTGTAGGAGCTGGTGCTGCTGGAGCTGGAGCTGCTAGGGGTGTTGGCACTGGAGGTGCTGCTGACGCTTGTGCTTCTGAGGGTGTTGGAGTTGGCGGTGCTGGACCTGGGGGTGCTACTGGCGCTGGTGCTGCCGCTGGAGGTGTTGGTGCTGTCCCTGTTGGCTCTAGAGGCACTGTGCGGTGGCGGCCGTACTTCGTTCCGCTCCTTGAGCAGGTTCTTGGTCCCCTCCCTTCTGCTAGTCCTGCTCCTTCCTTTGCGTGTCCACCGGCTGTCCAGTCCGAGTCACAGTTACAGCCCGCCTCCCCACTGCCTGCTCCTTCTTTCTACACTAGTCTTACTTGGGATCTTGCTGAGCATCGTGAGCCTGCGTCTCGTCCTGCGTCTCCTGTTCGTGCTGCTCGCACTAGTCGTCGTGTTCCGCGTCAGCGTCCTCCTACGGTCCCAGGCACGCACCAGATGGCACTGCGTCCTTCCACTGCCCCACTATGTGTCCCTTTGCCGTCTCCTCCTGAGTTTGCTCATCCTGCTCTTGCTGACCCGGAGTCTGACTCCCTTCGTACTGCCAGTCCTACTATCACGCGTCTTCTGGCCACTATTGTCACTGACCCTTCCTTTGAGTCCACTGCTGCGTCTGGCCTAGTTGTTGAGCTTGTTGACTTCTCTGCTCGCTCTCGTCTAGACTACGCTGCTAGTCTTGTTGCTAAGTCTGAGTCTGTTTGTCCTCCGTCCGTCGGGGGTGAGTGTGCTCTTAGCACGGACGTCGTTGAGGACAGGCAAGAGGAGTTCCAGTGTTTTGCTGCTGCTTTACCTCATCTCGTGTCCATGCTGATTGCCCTTGAGGGAGACCCGGATGCACCAGACATCCCGACTCCGCGCTCTTACGCACAGGCAATAGAGGGTCTCTACTCCTCTCAGTGGCAGTCAACCATGGACGCAAAGATGGCTTCCTGGAAGTCCACAGGCACCTACGTCGACGAAGTTCCCCCACCTAGGGCAAACATCGTCAGTGGAATGTGGATTTTCAGGGTGAAGCGGCCGCCGGGTTCTCCGCATGTCTTCAAGGCATGTTACGTGGCTCGAGGCTTCAGTCAGCGGCAGGGAGTTGACTACTTTCAGACCTTCTCTCCCACCTTGAAGATGACCACTCTTTGGGTGCTGCTCCACATAGCCGCTCAGCGCGACTACGAGCTTCACTCTCTTGACTTCATCGCTGCTTTCCTACAGGGCAGCCTGGACGAGGAGATCTGGTTGCGCCGCCCACCTGGCTTCACTGGGTCGTTTCCTCCTGTTACCTGGTAGAGCCTCCGCCGGCCAGTCTACGGTCTTCGCTAGGCGCCCCGTGAGTGGCACGACACACTGAGGACTACAGTTGCGGTTCTTGGATTTGCTCCTTCTACTACCAACCCGTCGCTGTTTCTACGCATCGACACCTCTTTGTCGCCGTTCTACATCCTTGTGTACTTCGACGACTTGGTCTTTGCCACTGCTAACATCGCTGGACTCGCCCACGTGAAGTCGGAGCTGCAGAAGAGACACACGTGCACAGACCTGGGTGAATTGCGCAGCCACCTTGGCTTGTAGATCACCCGGGACAGAGCACTACGCACCATTACCCTGACTTAGTCACACATGGTGCATCAGGTCCTTCAGCGCTTCGACTTCACGTACTGCTCGGCTCAGGCCACTCCTCTGTCTACTCGCCACTCGCTCTCAGCTCTGCCTTCGGATGAGTCCGTAGAGCCGAGTGGCCCGTACCCAGAGCTTGTTAGCTGCCTCATGTACCAGATGACCTGTACACGACCTGACCTTGCATACCCTCTTAGCATCTTGGCACGCTATGTTGCTCCTAGGAGACACCGACCAGAGCACATGGCTGCAGCGAAGAGGGTGTTGCGCTACTTGTACAGTATGTTGAGCATGTGGCGGGCGACGTTCAGTGGTCCTCACAGGTAATGCAGACGCTTCTTGTTGGATGCACGTCATTCTGGGTGCATGTCATCCTAACGTCCTTCCGAGTGCTCGTGCTATTTGTGCTTGCATGATTTGCATGAGCGTATGTCATTGTGCATGGCTATTGGATATTATCATCTCTGTGTTTTTCTCCAAGTCTAAATGCTTGATCATGCAGGAGAAATCCAGAACTTTCCAACGATACCAAGATCGCCTTATTCCGATCAAGATCGCCCAAGTTACAAGATTTCCAAGATTTGGATTTCTTATTATCTTTTGGGGTTATATCTAATTTGGGTGATTACTTGGGACATGAATACAAAGGGATCTTTGGTTGGGTGGTTAGGAAGCCAACTTTGACTTTTGGATTGGGGTGGCTCGAAGTTTCTAACATGGGTTGCAAATGTTGCAACACCTAGGCTGAATCCAACTAGATTGGATTTTGCATGTGACACCTCAAGGACCTCATGATGAGGGTTGCATCCTTGCTGCTAGGAAGGTTCCTACCATCCTTCCCTAGCTCTTGGAGAACCGCTTCACTCTCATGGTTCTCTTGGAGGTTCCCAACTCCAACTTCCTATACCTTAATGCTTGTACTTCCTCCACCATACTAGTCATGCGGCTGCTGGACGTTTTTACATGGTTCTCACTCTCTAGACTATTCTAACGACTGATTCAACTTGGAGATGGTAGCTAAGTCTAAGGCGCAACTTCCTACCAAGCGGATTTGCGTTTAGTTGAGTAATGAGTTCGTCCTAAGCTCTCAAAGTGACGGATCCTGAACAACAAGTGGTATCAGAGCGGGTAGTCAACTTTGAGACAAAGAATCGTCGTCAATTCTCAACCAATGATGTCAAGTGAGACCATTTTCTAGTAGCTCTACTTGCGAACGTTCGATTTGTGGTCTAATCGCGTTCTAATTCGAAGTATCCTGTCCGTGAAGGCGATTTTTGTAGAATCTAAATTTCTGGCAGAATTCTCTCCAAACGATTTCTCAAGTTTCCACCGTTCATAAGGCCTCAATATGGTTGGTACGAACTCCGGAGGTGCTAGTGGCGAGATGGATAGAAGTAGAGAGTCTGGAGAGCAGGGGGGATTTGCTGGTGGAGGAGTGGGGACTCACCAACCAGCCAACCCTACGCTACCTACTTCTTCTACACCATCTCCTACTACCGTGGATCCTGTGAAAGCTTTCTCTATTGAGAAATTCATAGTGGAGGATTACGAGCACTGGATTTTCCGCATGAGGTTGATGTATACCCAATACAAGCTATTGGATTTGGTGGAGGGAAAGGAGAAGATGCCGGAGGCCGCGGAGCTGAAAGGAGCGTGGATGAAGCGATCGTTTGACGCGTACATGCTCATGGTGCAAGCGGTGGGCGGATGGCAACTTGACCACATCAAGGACCTCTTGGGTGATCCAGAGTGTGGCCCCAAGGCTTGGAGGAAGCTTCTGGATGTGCACTCACCGACATATGTTACCGGCATCGTGCTACTCGCGCGGCGGCTGCGCGACATCAAGTTCGTTGATGGAGAGCCGATGCAACCGGTGTTGGATGAGATGCGCGACATCTTCACGAAGCTCCAAGGAGGCGGTGTGGTGTACCCGGAGCTCGTGCAATGCGTGGAGATCGTGATACGGCTGCCGGAGTCATGGTCTGCCCTAGCGATCAATCTCAACTCCCAACAACCCCAATAGAGCGTGGATTACATTCGCGCGCGCATCCTAGAGGAGGATCTGCGGCGGCGGAGTGTGGAGCGCTCGGAGGAGGGGGCTGGCTATGGATTTGGAGGTGGAAAGAGTGGCTTCAAGAATAAGTGGAAGGGCAAGAATAGGGATAACCCTAAGGAGGATGGCGGCGGGGGTCAAGGGGAGGTGTGCTTCTACTGCAAGAAGCGCGGACATCGTTGGCGGAAGTGCTACCAACGACCCAAGGATTGGACCCCGCCTTCATCAAGCAACCAGCGTGGTGGCACGAGGAGTGGGGGAGTCATGGGAGCTAGTGGAGAGGAGAAGGATGAGGAGAAAGGCGGCAAATCTGAGGAGCGGAAGGACGGGTTCTTCTTCTTCGTGAACGAAGGCGCAACCGACCTCGCTATGGCTGCCAAGGTTCTCCTACACCCCCTCACCCATTGGGTGATTGACTCCGAGAGCTCTTGGCACATGACTCCTCGTGCAGACATACTTGATGAGATTCAGCCCGCACCCATCTCTACAGTCACATCCGCGACGGGCGCCAAGGCCAAGGTCATGAGCATGGGATGCGCCAAGTTCATGGGAGCGGATGGAGAGCTCGTGGGGCTGAAGAACGTGCTGTGGGTGCCGGACTTGTGCGCGAACCTGATTTCTACCGGCCGGTTGGGAGATGCGGGTGTGAACACTGAGACGATTGGCTCGGAGTGCTATCGTGCCTACAACGATGAGCGGCTGATTTGGGACTTGCAGTGGAAAGGGGATGTCCACAAGCGGATGTGGCAGATCCCGGTCCTCCCTTGGCAGAAATCGGGCAAGGCGGCAGCGGCGGCATCTATGGAGGAGAACGTCACCGAGGAGGAGCAGCAAGGTGTGCAAGGAGAGGAGCTGATTGGAGGAAGCGCGGCGGTGAAGGCGTCGGCTACCTCAGGCCAAGCGGATTGGGAGACTTGGCATCGGCGGCTCGCACACGTTGCTGTTTCTACATTGGAGGTGATGCACAAGGAGAAGTGCGTGCACGGCATGCAACTGCAAGGAGATGGCGCTCACTATGGCAGCTGCGAGGCGTGCATGCAGAACAAGTTTGCGCGGTTCCCGTTTCCACGTGCGGAGGGATCAGCGAAGGCACCATTGGAGGTGGTGCACATGGACCTGGTGGGTCCTATGAGGACTGAGGGGACTGGGGGAGTGCTGTACTTCCTTACCATGGTGGACGAATGGAGCCGTTTCACGTGGGCGCGTCCCTTGTCCAAGAAGAGCGATGCTGCGGCGGCAATCAAGGAGGATTGGTTGCCGATGGTGGAGCGGGAAGCGATGCGGCTGGTGAAGGTGCTGAGGAGCGACCGAGGTGGAGAGTTCCTTGAAGCGGAATTCACCAAGTTCCTCAAAAGAAATGGCATCCGACATCAGCTGACCTGCCCTGGAACACCGCAGCAGAACGGCATTGCTGAGCGTGCCAACCGGACCATTGGCGAGGCGGCTAAGACCTTGTTGGGGGCTGCTGGGATGCCCTACAAGTTCTGGCCTGATGCCGTTCGCCATGTCATCACGGTCAAGAACAGGGTCTTGACGCATGTTGGCGACAAGCATTGGGTGCCGTACGAGCGTTGGCTTGGGAAGAAGCCATCTATTGACATGCTGCGTGTGTGGGGCTGCATGGGGCTTGTGATGGTGCCTAAGGAGCAGAGGCACAAGCTGGAAGTTGCTGCTGTATGGGCTGTCCATCTTGGGATGGCTCCTGACTCGAAGGGATGGCTGATGTGGGACCCCAAGAGCAAGAAGTCGCTGGTCAGCCGTGACGTCAAGTTTGTGGAGGACGTCATATACAAGGACTGGCAGCAGCAGCAGCAGGTGCAGATTGGCTTGCGTCTGCAGGAGATTGAGCGGTCTGCAGTGGAGGAGGTTCAGCTGCACCTTGAGGATCTCCCTGGGTCAGAGCTGACCAGTGACCACAGTGGCGGTGGTGAGCAGCAAGTTTCTGGTCCTGCTGGAGAGGAGGGGTTGGAGGATGAGTCGGCACGTGTGGACTCACCATCTCAGCCCGAGCCTGCTGCAAACGCCAAGGTCACCAAGAGGAGTGTGCAGAGAGGAGCTTCACCACATGGGCAGCCGACTGTAACTCGTGAGAAAAGAGTGGCTGCAGCACCCTCAAGGCTGAAGTATAGCCGTTTGGGAGGAACCAAGCAAGGTGCCATGGCGGTTCAGGCGGATGAGGGAGAGGATGAGGAGATGGCGTTTTGTTTCTTCACACTCTTGCCTGGAGAACCAGCCATAGTGGAAGAGGCACTCAGTGGACCCCAAAAGGAGGAGTGGAAGGCTGCCATGGATGCGGAGTTCAACAGTCTCATTGAGAATGGGACTTGGGAGCTTGTTGAGTTACCCGAGGGGCGACGGCCGATCAGCAGCAAGTGGGTCTTCAAAGTGAAGAGTGGAGCTGATGGTGCGTTGGAGCGGTCAAGAGCCATTTGGTTGCCAAGGGGTTTAGGGTTTAGGTCGAAACGGCTATAGCCAGTGAGCGAAGATCTCCCCAAAGTCCGTTTGAGCGAGTGAGCGAAGATCTCCCCAAAGTCCCAAAGTCGACCTCCTCCTTCAAACGGACTTTGGGGAGGTCTCCCCAAAGTCGACCTTCTCAAACAGACTTTGGGGAGATCTCCCCAGAAGGAGAAGGTCGACTTTGGGGAGATCTTCGCTCCCGTTGCTAAGCCAGTGACATTGAGGACTTTGATGGCTGGCGCAGCTGTGAAGGGATGGCACGTGAAGAAGATGGATATCACCACTTCGTTCCTCAATGGAATACTGCTGGAGGATATCTACATGGCGCAGCCCGACGGCTATGAGGATGGGACCAGCCGGGTGTGCAAGCTTAAGAAGGCCATCTATGGCCGTAAGCAAGCGCCCAGGTGTTGGTACGAGAAGCTGGAGGAGGTGCTGCTGGGTGGAGGCTTCAAGACCTCCAAGGCGGATCACAGCTTGTTTCTGCTTGGAGAGGGGGAGCAGCTGCTTTTGCTGCTGGTGTATGTCGATGACATACTGCTGTTCTCACCTTCCATGGAGCAGATTGAGAGGACACAGAAGCTGCTGATGGACAACTTCAAGTGCAAGATGCTGGGGGATGTCCATTACTACTTGGGGCTGCAGATTGAGAGGGATATTGAGAGGAGGTGGCTGAAGGTGCATCAGTCACACTACATCTCTGGTGTCATGGAGCGGTATGGTGTGACTGGGGGTCGCAGTGTGATGACACCGTTCCCTGCAGGCTTCAAACTGAAGAAGGCATCTGAGGAGGAGGATGTACTCGAGGATGAGCAGCAGAATGAGTACCAGTCACTCATTGGGAGTGTGATATATGCAGCTGTGCATACGCGACCTGATGCTTCATTCGGAGTGGGGCAGCTGGCCAGAGTTGTGCAACGACCCACCGAGGAGCAGTTGGAGGTGGCAAAGCGCTTGGTGCGCTACCTTGGATCAACGGCATCTGCTGGTGTTCAGTTTTCAGCTGGCGGCCAGCTGAAACAGATTGGAGCAGATGGGGTCACGCCTGGTACCTTGAAGCTGTCGTGCTTCACCGACGCCACATGGGCCTCAGAGGATGAGGATCAGTCATCGGTTGGCGGCTTTGTGTGCATGGTCGAAGGTGGACCAGTGAGCTCGAGGTCAAAGAAGCAGAGTGAGATTGCTCAGTCATCCGGAGAGGCAGTGTACATGGCAATGTACCATGCCATCAAGGAGATCGTGCTCCTGAGGAAGCTGCTGGAGGACATGGGAGCTTAACAGGAGGGACCTACACCACTTTTCTCCGGCAGCGAGGCTGCTATTGGCATGGCCAATAATCCTATCCTGAATGGGCTGAACAAGCACATGAAGATTAAGTGGCACTGGGTGAGGCAGATGGTGAAGGAGGGAGCTGTTGAGCTTCACCATGTGAAGGCTAGCAAGCAGGCGGCAGGTTTTCTCACCAAGAGACTTCCCGAGAGCGCACATTGGAAGTGTGCTAAGATGTGTGGTATGGCATTGCATTAGTGTGGGCAGCAGCGTCATGAGTGCATGAGTGATTGCGTGCATGTGTGATTGCGTGCATGAGAGTTTGCATTTGTGTGAGTGTGTGTGCATGCAGCCCGTTAGTCTGAGGGGGAGTTTGTTGGATGCACGTCATTCTGAGTGCATGTCATCCTAACGTCCTGCCGAGTGCTCGTGCTATTTGTGCTTGCATGATTTGCATGAGCGTATGTCATTGTGCATGGCTATTGGATATTATCATCTCTGTGTTTTTCTCCAAGTCTAAATGCTTGATCATGCAGGAGAAATCCAGAGCTTTCCAACGATACCAAGATCGCCTTATTCCGACCAAGATCGCCCAAGTTACAAGATTTCCAAGATTTGGATTTCTTATTACCTTTTGGGGTTATATCTAATTTGGGTGATTACTTGGGACATGACTAAAAAGGGATCTTTGATTGGGTGGTTAGGAAGCCAACTTTGACTTTTGGATTGGGGTGGCTAGAAGTTTCTAGCATGGGTTGCAAATGTTGCAACACCTAGGCAGAATCCAACTAGATTGGATTTTGCATATGACACCTCAAGGACCTCATGATGAGGGTTGCATCCTTACTGCTATGAAGGTTCCTACCATCCTTCCCTAGCTCTTGGAGAACCCCTTCACTCTCATGGTTCTCTTGGAGGTTCCCAACTCCAACTTCTTATACCTTAATGCTTGTACTTCCTCCACCATACTAGTCATGCGGCTGCTGGACGTTTTTACATGGTTCTCACTCTCTAGACCATGGAGATGGTAGCTAAGCCTAAGGCGCAACTTCCTACCGAGCGGATTTGCGTTTAGTTGAGTAATAAGTTCGTCGTAAGCTCTCAAAGTGACGGATCGTGAACAACACTTCTTGGGCTGACGACCAGGCTACGCGGCGGTCATCACAAGGTTACACCTTCAGCCTTGGTTCCGGCTCTGTATCGTGGCGGTCTACCTGCTCGTCTTCTGTTTTCGGCTTCATCTGTGAGGCTGAGATCTACGCGGGGGCCATGGCTGCACAGGAGCTACGCTGGCTCACCTACCTGCTGACTGACCTAGGAGAGCCGCCTCGTTCTCCTCCAGTTATGTACGTAGACAACAAGGCCATGCTGGCCTTGTGTCGGGAGCACAGACTGGAGCACAGAACGAAGCACATTGCTCTTCGCTACTTCCCTGCTCGTGAGCTGCAACAGCGTGGTCAGCTGCGCCTTGCTTACGTGGCCTCTCAGGCCAACACTGCTGATATCTTTACCAAGGCACTTCCGCCTTGTGATCATCAGCGCTTCTGTACGATGGTAGGTCTTGTGCCTACTTGGCCCCACTTGCTCACTTTTTGAACTTGCTTGTACTGTGATCTTTCTATACCTGCACTTGCTTGTTTACCTTTATATATGATCTTGCATGTGAACTGGCCTTGTCGCCTTGCTCTTGTGCTCGGACTGTGTGGTGACGTTGTGATCCACCCTGAGCTTTCTTTGCTTTGCTTGACTGGTCTTGTGACCTCTTGTTCTCCCCCACTTTGCCTATGGGGGTGTGTCAAACTTATTTGCTATAGTCTGTCTAGACTGTTGTGGGGTAGACAATATGGGGTACAACATTTCTAGGTTTTCCTACTTGTACCCACCTCATTCCTAGTTGATTCGTTCCTCATTCTTCACAGGCGAAGCACATCCATCTTCGTTACATCCTTCTGCGTGAGTTGTAGCAGCCAAGAACGTCGACATCAGACCAAATTGGCCTGATGTTTGGAAAATCACACCCATTCTCCGTTGTTCATCTTAATTGGCACTCGGGGGATTAAAATACATCTTATCCATTAGATTTGTATAATATTTTAATATGATTTTTGAGACTTGCATGTACACTTCTTCTAGATTTACAGATAATGGGAATTGTTTCGTCTGACATATTCTAACGCGTCAAAATCTTTTGACACATTCAGACTTGTTAGATTGCATTCTGACGTGTGTTTTCACCCACCAAGGGTATTTCTCGTTATATAGGGGGAGATCCTCAGCTCTACTACATTCAGATCTGCAAACACTATCTAGATTCAAGCCGTGTCTCTACTACGAAGGCATGCGCTATTTCAAAATTGAAGTTTATTATTTGTTCTTTAAATACTTTTAGATGTGTGTTTATTTTTTTCATCTGGATTTAGAGATCTGGGAAACAAATTTGTCCGAATCTCTAGACTAGTAGTTAAAATTCATCTGATGCTCAGACGAAGGATTTTTTTCAAGTCTGATTCTTAGACGGGGTTTTAAACTAGCAACGTCCCTGGCCGTAGCGTGGCCAGACACTCGTACGACATGTGGTCTTCAAGGCCAACACGGCAAATATCTTCACCAAGGAGTTGCCGCCTTGTGACCACCAGTGTTTCTGCACCCTTCTTGGCCTTGTACCTACTCGTCCTCACTTGCTTATGTAGAGATGGTTTCTCTTGTTTGCCTTGTACTCTTGCATCTCATTATATTTGCAATATATCTGCATGTGGAATGGCCTTGTGGCCCTTTGCTTGCTCTCGGAGTGTGTGGTGACTTTGAGCTCCACCCTAAGATTTGTCTTGTTCTTGTGGACTGGTCTTGTGACCCTTGCTTGTTTGTGCTGACTGGTCATGTGACCCTTGCTTGCTCTTAGACTGTGTGTGTCCTTGAGACCCACCCTGAGCTTTGTGTTACTTTCCACAGGACTTCAGTCACCTAGACTATGGGGGTGTGTCAAACTATATTTCTATATAGTTTTTTTAGTCTTAGTCTAGGTGTTGTGGATTTTGTTTCTTGTGTTATAATTATTGCTAGGGTTTGCTAACAACTTGTTTGTACCTTCATTCCCTTGGTCCCGTAAGTCTCTCGACAAATAGTGGCCTACTTCCCTGCACATGCTACTAACTAGGGGGTGTTCTTTAGGGTTCAGGGTCG